AAAACAGACCAACTTTAAGGTTGTTTTAATGATTAGACTGCTTCCACTGTAGCATCCAAGCAGATGATTAAATCCTCCACAAATAAAGGCCTGCCGTATAAAGTATTATGTGTTGTGCCTGTAATTCTGATAGATTTATGCTGTCTATGTGTGAGATGAGCTCCATTGTACTTCAGCTGGAGAATATTACAGTCCAATATGTACATAATTAACACAGTTATGGTTCTGTTGTGAATGCCTTTTCATGCTGTATGAAATGTATTAATTGCCGCTACAATAAATTAGTAATAACTGTGAAATTAACAGTATTATTCAACTGCTGTATCTTTGGTGTCTTTGATAGCTTTAAAAAATCAGTAAATTGGCAGGGGTTTTAATTAAAAGCTTTGTCTAGTCAGCTAAAAATGTGCGCAGCATTTATCTTTTGGACACTAAAATGTTGTCATTAATTCAATAATTTTCATCAAGGAAAGACAAGTGGGACAAGAGACTGAAAAATGCAGTTTATTGAGGATTTTATATATTGGCACTCAGACCCATGCATGCAGGAGGCAAATGCTAGTTGTATTTCTCTGCATTTTAGGTTCTGAAATTGCAAAGGATCATGTTTACATAGTCAGGTTTTTTCAGACACATGGTATCTTCATTTTAATAATAACCAAACTATGGAATGTAATCAAATTCAGTTTATTTTAATATCACCAATTCACAACAGTTGTAGTATCAAGGAACTTGAATCACAAACTTAACAAACCCACTTGATTGTATTGATTCATTGACTTTGCAGGATTCACTCCTCCTGGAGGAACATTCAGTGACTTTAGACATTTGATTGTGTCCTTGACTCTGGACGATCCCTCACACCTATCAAGCATACACTGACAGTGGAGAGGAGAAAATACCTTCTAACAGAAATAATCCTTCGGCAAAACCACAGACATACAGAAAGGAACATAGAAGCACTGATCCATAAATGCTTTATATGTTAGAAAAGGGATCAGTGGCTGTGTCAAGGAAAGAAACAATTAAGCTGAATAACCCTGAGCCAATTTTTATTTACTGTAAAAAAATAAAATAAAAAATAATGAAAAAAAAGGACATTCAAATAGTCCCAGAAAAATTTGAGCGCATAGCTATGTCTAGGAGAAAAACAGGACCAAGCAATAAAAACAGACCCAACTTTCTGATCTATGTTGGAAGTTGTTGATGCCAGCAGCCCAGCTGATGCTTCCGTCAAGGATGATGTTACAGCTGAACAGAAAACCCAGGCCGAAAAGCTATTATTATGAGAAAAAGTAGAGAGAACATACAATTAGAAGTTAAATCCACAAGTAATTTGGAACTGGAGAGTAACAGAATAATGAAACAGAATAATGAAAAGTGGTCCGTATGTCCTCCGGCAGACTAAGCCTATAGCAGCATAACTTAAAGAAAATTTAGAAGAATTACTGTTAAATTAACAGTTTGTTATTGCAGTTTTTGTGAAATCTGATATGAAGGGCAAAAATGTTGGAGTTTAACTCAGGGTTGGTCCATTTTTAAGTTTTTTGTTTTTTCATTTGAACAATGATAACCAGATCTTTTACTTATGAAGAAATGCACCATTAAAACAAAGCTGTAAGAATAGCCAGATGCCTCAAAACAAACGCCTGTTTTACATTTTTTTTTTTTTTTACAAGCACTGAAATTAAAACTCATAATTATCTTTAAAAAAGAGGCTACCAGCATCTTTCTGTTATTTGTCTATCCCTGCCTATTCATGCAGAGTGGCATCTTGGGCAAGAGGGGGGGAAATACCCTAAACAAGTTCAGCAGTCTATCACCGGGTAACACAGACTCACAAAGGACAAACAACCATGCAGAGACAAACAAAAATGATTAGACAGACCAATACATCCATGCTGATGTTTTTTGACTGTGAGAGGAAGCAAAAGTAGTAAAAGAGTAAAAAGGGAGAGCATTTTAATATCTACAGAGAAGGGTTCAAGTCCTAGTTTTGGTCAAACTTTGGCAATTAAGTCTTTGAAAAACATGCCAGTTAGGTTTATCATGCTTATCTATCAATCTGTCATTTACAATCCAGAGTTTCATACATTACTCTTATGCGCTTTTACGGTGTTAATGATAGCATGCCCAAATACCATAATGATACCTTTAAGGCTAGAAAAACTAAATAAATTAAACGCTTCAAGTATGATTGAATTTGCATTCAATCAATTTGCAAATAAATAAATAGAAAATAGTATGAATCTATCTGAGCTCTTCCACTTTTTTTTAACACTTTAATTATTATCCATCTTGTTTGGGGTTGCAATGTTGTGTTCTGCAACCACAACCTGTGATTAGTTTACCGCAATTACTTTCTGGAACATAGTGAAAAACTGTTAATCTGTGTACATGAACTTTTTTCAGTTTTTCAGTAATTAAAGCCTACATATCTGCACACAGCTGCCTCGTTTCATTAGACCTGACATCTGATCATGATAATAAATCTCAGAGGGTTATCAATTGAATTTGGCCCTCACTGCTCTTACTCATTAAAAACATACAGTATTGATTGAAATCTCTCTTTACAATCTCAGTTTCTATAAATCATTAAAGCAGAATTCCACTTTTTTTTTTTTTTTTAACTGAATAACGTTACTTAATTTGGCTGCCTTGATTGACGTATTTCATAGTAATCTCTGATGGGGATTGAATGAAAATAAAACAGCTTCTTCCTAAACCACTCGGTTTACACTATAAACACTTCTTGGTTTAGAGCAGATTAAGAACTGCTACTTTCCTACAGGCTCCTTTTCTTGAATAGATAGCTAATCTCTTAATCAGATTTTTTTTCCTGTTGTGAAAAGGGGAAAAGGGGAGAATACCCGGATTTCTGAAAAGGCCTCCATAAGAAACAAAGACACCTATATAACATGTCAGTCAATCTTATATGAAAAGAACTCCTCAAAGCAAACCAAACTAATATGTATTTGCAAGCCTAAAGAGAACTTTAAAACAGATATAAAAACAGCCTATATAAAATAAAGGCATTGAATGCTTCCTTTGCAT